TCGTGCTTCGGATCCCAGATCTCCTGACATTCATGCTCTCACTGTTAGGGGTCAGGACACTGCAGGGGAGCAAGTTCACGTGACCCGTTCAAGGGATGCTCCCCGGGGACCAGGAGGGATTCCAGCCTCGCCTCAGGTTCATGGCACTGTCCTGCCTTCCAAGACTCAAGGGGAGCACATGGGATGGATTTCATGAAGAAGATGGGTTCTAGGGTTTTCTCCCTTCTTCCTAATGAAAACCATTCACATTTTCTGTGTCCTATGCCCTAGGAGTCTGCAGCACTGTGACCCAGATTTCTGGAGCCCATGATTCTGGAGTTGAGGATTCTGGAATCCTTGTTTTTCTGAAGGGGACTCAAGGAGGTTCTGTGTGGTTTCATGTGATCAGAAATTCAGAATTACCTCCAGAGGTCGAGCTGGAGAAGATTTCATGGGGCATTGGATCTGGGTCAAACTACACAACCATGCTCCAAGTCAGTCCTTGGCCATATGTTCCAGAATGGGTCAACTTCCAGGACAGGTTCGAGAAGAGGGTCCATGTGCACAACATAACAACCCTAAAGATAGACAACCTGACCCTTGAGGACAGTGGGCGGTACGTGGCTCGAGTCAGCTACATGAGAGGAAGACAATACGACCAGGATTTCCACCTGAGCGTCTATGGTATGTGGCGGCCCCTCCCCCAGTCCCACAGCTGACCTCCTTCCTCTGTCCCTGGGAGTGTCCATGCGCCCCGCTTGCAGGATTCCTTCCAGACCCCAGCCTTCAGACTCGATCTTCTCCCCTCAAATTAGATATCATGTGTCCATCACAAATGCAGGCAGAGCTGAGACTCACACCGGGGATAAGTCACTTCGGTGCTTCAGGAGTGGAACACGGAATGGGGGGGAAATGGGGATTTTGCCATAACACTCACTGTGCCCATAGGACTCAGGGTACTCAGTGTGACTATTAGCTGTCCAGTGCTGCTATAGCAGGTGACCTACCCTCAGGGGCTGACCACACCACCACCTGCGTGTCCTCCTGGGCTGTAGGGCAGGAGTCAGACCCCAGAGCCTCTGCCATGAGGTCCAGGTGTCAGCAGGGCTGTGCTCCTCTCTGGAGGCTCCGGGGAGAATCCATTTCTGTTCCTGTCCCCCCTTCTAGCGGCGCCCGCATCCCCTGGCTCGTGGCCCCTTCCTCCCCCTTCCCAGCCGGCACTGGTGGGATGAGTCCCTCTGACGCTGCGTCCCTCCCACCTCCTCTCCTGCCTCCTTCCACTTGCGAGGACCCTGTGATCACATGGGGCCCGTCCGGGGATTCCAGACCAGCTCTAGTTTAGGGTCAGCTGGTTCGCAGCCTCAGTTTCCCTTTGCCATGGAACCTAAGACACCTGCAGGCTCTGAGGGTCAGCACGTGGCCAGGGTTGGGGACACTGGTCACGAGGCAGGATCCGGAATCCCAGTGTGGGTCTCCCCGTTTCGGCCCCTCATCCTTCTCAGCACCAGCCCGAGGCCAGCTGACTCTCAGTCTCCACGGGTCCAGCTCTGAACCTCCACAGATGTAGGAGAAGGTCACAGGACACCCCTTCCTCAGACACTCAGCGAGCAGCTCTCTCTCCCTGCACCCTCCCCCCTGCACAGGGAGACGTCCTGCTCCCGAGAGAGTGGCCTTTGCAGCCTGAGGCCCGGGAGATTCCCAAGACTGACTGTGAGTCTGTTCCTTGTCTTCCTGTGGGGACCCAAGTTCAGGACATGTTCCAACCACACTAGGGAGGTCATTCCTAGGAACCACCACTGTGTCCTCCACCACGGTCTCTCCTGGTAGAGCCTGAGGCTGATCTGGTCTCCCAGAACTGGCCAGTGGCCTCTGCACCTCGTGTTGTACAGTCCCGAGGACCATCTGAGCAGGAGAAGCAGGGTTGTAGCCTAGACCAGGAACATCCTGTCCCAACTTCACCTTCTTCTAGGGGACATCCCATTTCTTAGAATCAATGGGGTTTGGGTAGGCGGGTTCCACATGGTTTTCTCAGGGAAGCTTTTAAACACTTGCTCAGTCTAGTGAAATCACACAGAGCTGAACTCAATGGCTCCCATCCGTATTGGCACCTGCTATGTGTTTGGGTCATTTCTGAGTTATCTGTAAAATACTTCACCATCCTTAGGGGGAGGAAGCCAGAGCTTCAGGGACATACCGCAGGAGAAAGCATGAGCTTGGATGTTCTCCACTCATGTGATGCTCTGCCCTCTTGTCCCTCCCGCCACAGAGCCCGTGCCCCTTCCCCAGATCCGGGGCACCATTCTGTCCCTCACACCAGCCTGGTGCAACGTCACTGTGGAGTGTGACACCAACGGAACCAGGGAGGACCTGACCGTGTCCTGGGAGAGCGAGGGCCTCTCTGGGGAGCTGGAGCAGAGACCCTCCCCAGGACCAGCCCCCAACTATTGGAGCCTGGCTGTGAACCTGCCCCTGACCCAGCCCAGCACCAGCCTCACCTGTGTGGTCAGCAACCAGGTGGACCAGAAAACTGCCACCCGGGACCTTGGGGACGTCTGTGGCCACGGTGAGTGCATCCTGCCGGAGGGGAGGATCTCTCCGGGAGCTCAGGTAGCACTGGGTGACAGTTCCCGGCCTCTGTGCCCCCATGTCTATGTCACCACCTGTCCCCTAGTCACCCTGTTAAGGACTCCGGCAGGAACAACCAACCTGCTTTTGCCCTTGGGTTTTTCTCCCCTGTCCCTCTCAACCCCTCACCCCTGCTGGTCCAGGCAGCACCCAGCAGGTACCTCTCCCCACCATCATCCATCATTCCTTGTCTAGGGTGGTTTTCGGAAGGGAGTTGGGGGTGTCAGTGGTCTGTGCCATCTGAGGGGTCTGAGCCCTCAGTGAATCAGGATTCAGGGCTCGGGGCTCCCCTGCCCGTTTCTGGTCTCACGGACACACTTCACACCCACCTGCTTGCCTGCATTCCC